GCTAAGAAGTCACGACGTTTCAACCTCTCTGAGGTCATTATCAAGTGAGTAAGTTTTCCAAATCAGCATAAATATGTTGAAGCAAGTTGAAGACGATAAAATGTGGCAAACGCTAAAATATGTGAAAAAGTGTAAACAATATACAATGGAAGAGAATAAAAGAATAAAAGAATAAAATAATCAAGAATGAAATTAGGGTCAGGGAAGACAAACCCCCTCTTGTGAGTCAACAATGCGTGGTGTATTCATTTCAATGTGGCCTGTGTGATGCAGGCTATGTCGGCTACATGTGCTGACACTTACAACAACGAATTGAACAACACAAAGGATCAGCACTCGGACACCACCTCAGGGATCAGCACGACTTGGAGCCAAAAGACATCACACAGAATTTTCGAATCTTAAGGAAGTGTCAGGACAAATTTGACTGCCTTGTTTTTGAAATGTTTTTTAATCAAAGAACTGAAACCAACGCTAAACAAACAGTGCTATTCAATTTGCGCCAAACTATTTCTTTATAGAACAATTTGTGCTATGATTATTTTAATCTTTTATTCTATTATTTTCTTCCTTTGTATATTGTTTACACTTTTTCACATATTTTAGCATTCGCCACATTTTATCGTCTTCAACTTGCTTCAACATATTTATGGTGATTTGGAAAACTTACTCACTTGAAAATAACCTCAGAGAGGTCGAAACGTCGTGACTTCTTAGCGCTAGCTTTTATTTCAAAGTCGATTACTAAGAAACTACTTATTGAAGCTAATAAATTAGATAGAATTAAATTAATCAAGTTTTACTTGTAATCATAAGACAAAGTATTTCAAGTCAGTCTCACCTTGAGTGTATGGAGATTAAGAAAAACGTGATGATCAACTTGTACACTATGTGTGTAAGCATGAGAGCGCCGTCCACGGCCTGTGGAAAAAAATAAAAATCATAAAACACTTTATCATCCCTTTTTGGTAACACTACGACATAGAAATCTTATAATTCTCACCTTGAAAATACTTTCCACACACCAAGCAGGCATACACATTGATGTGAGATAATGACACAGAACACAGCTTCTCAAAATCAAAATCAAGAACATGCCTGTAAGAAAATTGGGTTATTTAGGGCATGTCTGCCACTCAGTTACAATAAACATGAAAAGAAAAAAGAACTTGGGGGCAATCATGTTAAAAAGAGAGAGAAGGTTAAGTAAAATAATGATGAAATTAAGTCTCTATGAAATATGATACAAGGACTTACTGGTACTCTATAAAGAGGCTATCACTACATTTAGATGAAGCAAAAAGCAACATTTTGTCTCATTTTTCTTAGCAGACTGCAGCTTTTTTGTGTTGCTGAGGTCTAATTTTTGTAATTCTGGGATCAAGGAGCAGAAAGTTAACACAGAAGGAAATGTAACAGCAACAAATTTGATTACTTGCTGAATCACATCACACTTTAGTGACAACTCTTCAATCTTTGCTGCCTTAAAGGAAAGACCCAAACCACAAGGTCAAACAAAAAAAAAAAACTATTCCTTCCCCAAGCCTACCCTTTATTTAAATTTTTTTCATATATTTTTTCCTGCAGGAAACTAATTTTATGAGGTTGGGGGGTCAATTTGCAAAATCCACTCAATTTCAAAACTCACAAAAGTTTCTCCTTGTTTAATTGTGTGGAAGTTGTTTTAAGTACATGATCAGTAAATATTCAACAGTACCTGTCTATGGTGTCAAGATAAGGACAATGTCTACTCTGATAAGCACTGTGTTCTGGAA